TGTCTGCTCAACTGACTCTGGAGACACTGATAATGATATAAATCTACTCTCCATCGTTCCCTCTCTTCTTTTTTTCCTGAGCGACAGAGATGTAGAGAAGACAGTTAGGAGGAGGGAGAGGCTCAGATCACTTCCTTGACAGCTGTTTGGGCTGGCAGTGAAAATGCTGAATGCTTGTTAAGAGTTATTACTTCTTGATTTGAAAACAACCTGCAACCTTACCCATGATTCTAATTTCACTATCTGAGAGTTCATACAAACAGTATACATGCACTTGTACACATACAGACATAATGATAATATATATAACACATACACCTGCAATACATACTTAAGGTTACTTAGTTTAGCTATAAACCCTAATATTCCCTAATATACCCTGAGGTCCTGCAGGGCGCCAGTGCAATACATTACACTATGATAGGCACACTCCACAGTGCTATTATTGGCTCATTGGTACATATGGTAGCCCGGTTGTGCGATGAATACGTTTGAGGAGAGATTTGCAGAGGTGTCATCATCTAATGTTAGAAGCGCAGGGAGCAACAATTAAATACAAAAATTGTTGCCTCATCAAATTTTTTGGGATGCACAGACTAATGCCCCAATAGGTGATTTGGCTCATTTCCAGTTTAAAAGTGTCTATGGGAGGAGAAAAAGTATCTCCCTCTCCTCGTAGATGTAATTATTCATATGTATGTGCCCATTTTGGCCAACTACAGAATGATAACCCGGTCAGTTCACTGCAACACAGTTTAGTGACAAATCGACTACAGACCAAGTTTTCAAAAGACAAGTGATCATCCTCCAGACACTGAAGAATGCCTGACCAGATGTAATGAACAACAGCGGTAACACACAGTTCAATACTGCCTCAGCCACAAACTACTAATCTGTGTAGTAGATCTGTGAGTGATCAACTGTGTGTGACAAGTGGAGGATACAGAACTGCCAAGAACCTGGTCAGGGGAAGCATGAGGCTGGAGGGATTCAGTGACCGTCCTATAAGGTCTGGAGTCGGTTTAAAACTGAATATTGAGAGGAACAAATGAGCTCCCTTTTTCATTTTTCATTTACTGTGGAGGGGGCGTGACCCCCTGTACTCCATGGCAATTATGCACTTGCCCCTCCCCCCCAGCTATGCAAGTCTTATTAAAACAAAATATAAAAATGACCTAAATGCAAATGTTCAATCAAAATATGTCCAATGATTTTCAATTTGTTGGACTCCTTGGATTTAATGGTTGATTTCACGGTTGGTTTACCTTCAGGTCACATGGCTTCTAGAACTACAACTAGGGAAATAAGGTATAGATTTGTCGAAAATCAGTCATAAGCTCAACTAATGCACGAGACATGGAGTCAATAATAGATTAGAGAGAGAGAGGGGGGGGGGAGATACCCAAAAGGCAATCAGGAGTCCATATTAATTATGCTAATGATTTGGATTTGCTACTTCATTAACCATCATTTTGAGCTGGTTGATCACAAGGGTAGCTCCACGTACGGTCTCTGTAGCAACTGTGTGAAAAAAAAAAAAAAGATGAGACACAAAGAGATTATGTGTGTTTGGGTACATGCAGACATCTCTGTGCATGCCTGTATGTGGGCACACATGTGCTAATTACTGCATCTGGTAATTACTGTAGAGACACTCAGCAATCAATTAAGTTCTGTTCTATGCAAGGCGATAGTACAGTTTGTATTTTAACTGGTGCTCAAATCATCATCAATGATTTTTTTTTAGTGTTGTTTTCTGTTTAAATAAATATGTGGTTGCATAATTTCTTTGGTGGAAAAATTCCCTCAGATTCATCAGATAACTTGCCGCAGTTTTATCGGGAAAACAGCAGGTGGGAGCAGAGCTCAAGTGAAGTTATGCATGACTTCTCATTACACTCATCTTTTCTTGTCAGAGGACTGGTGCTCATATTCTTACGACTAATGGAATAGTCTTACGCATTTTTGGCTGCTTTTGGAGTAAAGAGATAGAAAAGAGGTTTGGGAACCACTGACCTGCACAGTACATGAGCACTGGGTGACATACAGAATGTAAACATGATCCTAAACTAATGATCCTAAGCAGGATTAGTGGCTTTGTGAAAGCCCAGGAATTGCCCAGGGAGCCTGCACAGCAGTTCAAAAAATAAAAAAATAGAAAAGCAATTCAAGAACTAAATGAAAATACCAATGATTCATTTCACATGTATCATCAGCGTGAATCACAGGCTTTCTTCTGCAGACATAAAGATTATTTTCTGACGTGACAAAGACAAAGGGAAAAATGGGGTGTTTTATATTCCAAGAATGTCACTGTCAACCAAGAGCGGACCTCAGTTTTCTCCCGGTCGTTCACTTTGAAAGTAATTTAAATGAGCAGAAATAAGATGCCACGGGTTGGGGTGGGGTGGGAGCAGGGGGGGACGAGGCTGTCAAAACGCGGCCAAGTCATTTTATCTTGATGTTTGCCCACATTGCAATAATTGATTTGTCTTTGTTCTCAGGCGTGAGTATACAAACATGGCAAGTGGCCTAGAGAGTCATGTGTCTGTCTGATTAACAAAGCACTGCAGCATCCACCAAGAACTTCACAGACCTCTCTCGCTGTGTCTCAGTCTGCTGCTTCCCTCTGGATGTGCTCATTTGACAGGACCTGACGCAACTCTTCACCACAGCTCAGTCACATGAATATACTGATTTCTCCCACTCGCTTCTACTCCATGGACTACTATCATTATGAACTCACATCATGTAGGCAAGCAGTGTTGAAACCTTCATTACTTTATTTTAAATTCTAGTTGAGATCCCGCAGTTTCCAAAGATTCCAAATGTGTTAGGACTAAATTACAAGGGAAAGTGTATGAAGGGTCTCACAAGATATGTTGAATTTCCCATGTTGATGCAGTGGTGTAGCCATAAAGTTTTGATTTAGGTTTTGAAGTGTGATGTGGCAGCAATGAAGTGCTGGAAAAAGTAGATACAGAAGACATATGTGTGATTATCTCTTACATACATATGTTTTTCGCATCATCTGACATGGGTGCAACTAAGATGTACAGGTCCTAACTACAGGGGGTTGGTACTGGGTACTGTAGTCATTCAACTGGACAGTAGCAGGGCTATAACGGTTTGTGTATTCATGCCGAACCATCGCAGTTTGGGGGGGTTCAGCTCACACAGTCTACACGGTACGTGGATTGACACACCTAAGCACAACAAGCTGATTGGTGTACAAGCCAGTCACACTATGGTGAGCACAAATTTAACACCGGATGAAAAGGAATGGTAAACTTATGCCATTTTTTGTCCAGCTGTACCAAACTCACACTGAACCATAACTCCTAAACCGATGTATGACCCGAACCATAACTTCTGTGTACAGTCTTCCAGTAGTAGCTGTAAAAATATTGCCCAACATACATAAAAAAAAAGAAAGACGATAGAAAACAGTGGCAAATCTGGGATTACTCTCTCTTTTGGATAAGGTGAAGGTATTTGTCCGGGGAAAGCAGGAGCAGATTATGATGAGAAATCATCGGAAATTCCTGGATCTCAATGACTGGCCTTCAACCCATTTATTGCAAGGACACGATAAAGGGGTACTCGATCTTTTGGGATACAGTTTTGGAAATACGTCGGACAAAAATAGTTGGGAACCGAATTGTTTTATTGCAACCCAACATCTTTCCATCCAGATTTCTAGGTTTTTTCTTTAACTCTAACCTTCTACTACCACCACCACAACCACATTCTCATCAGCAATCTCCTTGCTCGATATCCATTTAGGGTGGTAGTTACACAGCAAAAAACTGTCAATTTCTGTTTGGCTGTTCTTGCATCATACTTGGAGATATTCCTTCCCGTTGTCAACCTCAACCTTTTTCAAACGAGAGCAGTGTGAAATAGACTGTAAAATATTTATGAATATACACCTGAGAACAGGAACATTCAACATGAGCGGAAAATAATGTTTTGCCTTGGCTCCCTGCCAGGGTGGTCAGAACTCCGAGCGAATCCCATAGTGTAGGTAGAAATTTGTATGATTGCAGTGTAGCTTAGAGATCACCAGGCAGGGTGATTGTTTGCATGCTTGATTTCTTTTCATCTGGTGAACTACAAGTCCACATCATACCGAGCATCTCCTTAATTTATAAGGCAGAACCACACAACAGTACTCCTCACAATAACACTTGTTCTACTTGGAGCATTAAGTTCCTTAGTCCTTGTTTGACCTGGCATGGCTCTCAACAATCTTTTTTTCAGAGCGCATTGTGTGCCGTACAATGTAGCAGGCAAAGTGCCAAATACAAAATTTACCAGTAGCAGACGATAATTTGACAATGCAATTGGTCTTGATGGTTCAGTCCTCGCCAGGAGACCAGTTTATGATGCAATGGTCACAAAATGAACTGTAGAAAGTGACTATGACGTTACTTGGTATGAATACTAGAATTTCCTCAGTGCTGCATTTTCTGTATTAGAACTGACTGCCCTATTATAACACAGCGCTTATTTGAATCCAGACATTCAGTCAAATCTAGTGGGAGTCAAAGTCAGTCTGTGATTCATAATGGAACAGCTCGAGGCGATGGATTGGTATGACAACAAAGATTAGAGTCTCTAGTTTTTTTAACGTTTGGGACGAAGTTGCTCAAGTTCACAAATACTGATTAGATCGCCCAAGGCAACGAGAATACCAAGGGTAAAATCTGTCAAACAGCATGATGTCCCTTGTAGTAGAAAATTACTGCAGTTATTCATCTGACTCAATGGTACTGGAAAAGTGAGGTATGAGTGGCAGGAAATGTCTTTATACAATGAAAAGAACATTAATTCAAGGTGGCACATTCAGTGAATTAAGTATTTTTTACAGTCACAGTATTTTTTCAATAGGATGTGTTATTTCAAAATTCTCCATTTATCATCTGGCAACATTATATGTGATAATTCTAAACCTTATTAGGTTAGTTTTTAAAGAAATTAAGTTCAGATAACAGAAATATTTTTATAGATATTTTTTATTTCTGTTTTTACAGACTTTTTGTCACAACAAAGTCAGCAAGAGCATCTTTTTTGTCCATTACATTGTAGTAATTCATTTTAAAGCAACCAAGAGAGGACCAGCAACCATTTCATAGCATAAAAGCAGAGGCAATTTTGACATGCAGCAAAAACAGGCAGGGCTTCTAACCAAATCCAAGGCAAGGGGAATACTAACAGCCCCCACTATCCAGTTTGAACTACAACCCCATTTACCCATCATCCATAGCCCCCAGAGCCCGTCAATTACAAAATACACAGAGAAGCTGCAACAAAAAGGGAATTTTCACTCTGAAATCTCACTCCAGGGACGACAAAATGAACACATTTCTAAAATTCCTTTTTCTATTATGTGCTGTTAACGTTGCTTCAAAAAGGGATTCAGTAACAGATTTTTAAAAACTGCAACATTCAAGTCTTTCTAGTAGCCAGCATGGTGATTGGTCAAAGAATACAGAATATCTTTTATGCATTACCAATGTAACATTAGTCAAAAACACCATCTGATATGTAAGTGATATGCCAAGTAGAAAAGGAAAAATCTGACGTCTAGAACTCTTTCGAGCAACGTTTCCAAAATTCTAAGATTGGAGGGACAGTTTGGGGTTTATTAAAAAACAAATCAAGGTAGAGGAAGAGGCCACACACAATGAAAGGTTAATATAATGAAACTTTACAACCTTTCTTTTCAATCTAGTAGAGTACAGTGCAATTACTGTTCATGAGATTAAGCCTTCGCCATACAATACTTATACTGTTGTAAGTTGTAAAGAAAAAAAAAATAATGTTAACACACTATTGATCTATTACCATTAGATTTCTTTACAGTTTTAAAGAGAGAACTGCAAATGAGAGATGTGTATTTAAGTGCTAAGCTTTGCGTTTACATTATAGAGTGATTTCTTGTCTGAGCAGTGTTCTAGGATCCAGGTGCGAGAGCGCTCCCCCAGTGTTTGGTCCCTAAAAGGAGACATTACTGACAAGTCCTTCTGTTAAATGGCTAGAAACAGAGGCCAATAGAAGAGAAAATCCTACCCCAAAAACTTGGGAGGGAAAAAAAAAACAACAAAAAAAACAAGGTAAAGGAAAATCACCAGACAGACAAAATGACCCTTCAACAAACAGACAAAAGCAGTGTTAAGACAGAGGTTGATTGGGGTAAAAGGGACGAGTCCATCTTCTGTCAGGGGACCACTGCATCCATCTGTCTGTCCGTTCACCCACCTGTCCAGCCACCTCCCACACTGTGGTGTCTCACTTGAGCAGAGCCTTTATGGCATCGCTCTCGGCGGCAGCCTCAAAGGCACTGATGCCGTTCGGTCCTTTTCGGTCTTTGTCAGCTCCCTGTGGAGGAGAGGATACATGAATATTAAATATGCTTAGTAGGTGCATCGAGTCTTCCTCACAGTATGATGCCAACTCCACTTCATCGAGTCAGGGGTTAAGGTGAGGAGCAGAGCCCGGAATCTAAAGTCTTTTTTAAAGTGTCCTATGCCTGTTTGCAACATGCAGAAACTCCAGAGCACCAAGCTGCCGACAAACTGCACTGTTTTATGTGGTCATCTGTGCACACTCCCCCTTCTTTTATAATCTTACCCTGTCACGACTCACCAGGAAGTTGCACAATATTTAACCATTTTCAACAAGAATAAACATTACAGGGGGCACACACAGTTCATGATATGGCTCCTAGGCCCCTGGCGAAGTTCCAGGTGTGGAAAAGGGCTATATCGGGGTGGTCAACCATGTGCCATGGAGAGCCAACAGTCCCAACAGGCAATATAAGCCAGCAAATTGTTGACTCTATATGGCACATGACTGTGTCACCCCTTGCTTGTAACGCTTCCTACCCATCTCGTCCAAGGCCACAGGCCCTTGCTGAACGGTTATCCTGGTATGTTACCAAAACATCTATGGAAAAACTTCTGTCACTTTTATTTTCTTCTAACTCAGTTACTAATAACTTGCCTGTCAGCCTGTCTTTATCCAGACAGCACATGCAAAACAAATTTCCAGACACTGAGGCACAAATCCATTTGAGCTCTGAGGGATAACAGAGTGAATGTGAAAGAAAGAGGAGTGGACGCAATCATTTGGATTACTAGGGACAAAAAAAAAAAAACATAAAAAAAGAAAAGGAATGAGACAGGCAACGTGTTGAATGCACATGTAGTGACAACAGATTTTATGGGCGACAGAGGAGGAGAGGGGCATGTAGTGGAGAGACATCCCTTTGTTTGGCCTGCCAACTTTAGCCTCTTAGCAAAGGGCTTACAGAGCCAAGGCAGAGAGAGTCTATTGTTGCGTGGAGAAGCATGCCATCAAAAACAATGTGACCCAGTTCAAGTGCCCAGCAGTGTGAGGATGGTTGTCTTGCAAATTCCATGCCACAGGAGCAACGGAGTGCATCCCGAGCAAGAGAGATTTACCAGGGCTGAGCGGGTAACCTGTCAGATCTGCATCTCTAATTGGTAAGAAAACGAAAGACAAAGTAAGAGAGGGTTTTGTCAATTCATAGCATGCTTCAAATTTCTAAGAAGTGTGCACCTGTCAACACTCCAGTTGTTAGAGCCCCGTTGTTTAACATTTGATCTATGGTAACGGGTTACCCAAAGTCCCGCACTGCTAGTTTTTCACATTCGAAGACAGCCGTTTCAACCCCCCCCAAAAGCTGCAAACAGGGAAACCAGGTTACAGTGTTACGAGATCCACCTTCCAGCAGATTTAAAGTTCTCCAACAGCGCATCTTGTTTGTTTAATCCATACAAAAAACAAAGCATAAAACCACAAATAACCATTTGATGGGAGGCTAGTGTTGAGACCTGTAACTTCCTGGACTTTCCTCTGGCTGGAACTGTAAATGATCTTGCGGTCTTCCATGAACTTCCCACTTTGTACTGAGCCTTATGGTCAGCTCTTCAAATTTCAATACACAGAGGGTTCTTTCAGTGCAATTCATCAGGTACAGGACAGGACAGATTCCTGAGAGACAACCTCTAGACATCCCACTACTCGGATAATTATTTTCTGACTTGAGACTGTTGCTTTATCCACCAGTAAAAACATTGCTGACCCAAAATATAAAAGCAGTCAAAGTATTTCCAGAGTAACGTTAACTTTTCCAATAGCTGCTGACTCATTCATACCAGCTGCCTGGTAACCAAGCATTGTGTTCTCCACTCTTGTGAGTTCAGGGGGTGAAGGGTAGGATGGGAAGACAAGAGGAAGCTTTCTTTCCCCAGCTCTGGGGAAGTCATTAGTAGTTGGTTCCAGACCATACCTGGTAACCGACTCCACAGGCCTCATTTAGATGGCAGGAAACAGCATTACACCTTGGCCCTAGCTCTTTCACCATCAATACTGCTCTTGCCTGGGCACAAATAGGGTGTCTATCTGACACACAAACCATTACATACCTTGTGTATACCACTGCATTTTAGGTGGAACAATCTCATAATGAGCACCGCACACCTACATTGCCCTAAACAGAATTCTAGAGGGTCTGCCACAGACTGATACTCCCTATGGGTATTTATGATAGAGTTACATTAATAGACCCGGTCCATACTCCTCCCTGTTACACCATCCCCAATGACCATCCAGCTCACTGTCATACTCCTGTCACCACTTACATTAATGAGCTTTCCCCAACTTGAATAATGACCCCTCATGAACACCTTACTGTCCAAACATTATCCAGTAAAAGAGAAGCTAGTGGCCAAGTAAGATACAGCCTAATGAATAAGAATAGACTCCCAGGGTGTCTCCAGTCCAACTGTGATGCACCATCATCCTGGATTATGGAGCCATACAAAGCAGCACTGGGTCAGTAACGTAATGCCACTGATCTGCCAAATGTCCATTAAGTTTTCATTATGCCAAGAGTGAATGGAACTGAAAGGTCTCCCATGCGCAAGTCTTCAAATATTGGGCCAGAGCATCACTCAAAACGTATTTAAAATGCAATGCTTACATCGGATTATTGACCTACTGGCAGCGGTCAAACATTACGGCTCTGTAAGGGTGCAAATTCTCTAACATCCAGCGACAAAAAATAAAATAAAACTCAATATCTATATTGGAGCAAGGTATGCCAGCTAGGCACCAAACATTGGTCAAAACTGGGAGAAAAAAAAGACTAGGATATTGTTTTAGTTATTACCACAGTCTTTTTTAAATTTAAAATGTGTATATCGCTTATATCGTCTTCAATACAGTTTAGGCCTGATATCTAATTTAAAACATCATTAGTAAGTAACCCTTTCAGTGACTTTACTGAAGCGTACTTCCACTTTTTAGGGTAGGATTAACCAGGAAAGATTCTGTATGGAAGAGACATCTACAGAAGCATAACAATTACTTTAATAAATGTTATTATACTATTTTTTCTGTGTGTATCCACCCTCCTCCTAATGGAAAGAATTTAGTCAAGTCAATCAAGTTGGCAAAGCCCAATGGAAGATGATGTGTATTAGCCTGTTTTACTTTAAAATTGTTTGACCAAATCCCTACTGTGTATCAAGGACATGCACAATGAGCAGGACACGTTATATGGTCATGTTTAGAAGACAAGGCAAAAATAGGAATTGACTTGACAAAATAATGCTGCATTTCTTCCTAGTCAATCGTCATGCACACAGTTCCTCATAAAAGAAAAGGATGTGTGTTTTCATGCGTGTATGCCTGTGTGTGCCCTTTCATTGTTGACTTAAAATTAACTGGCCAGCCTTTGCAGGCTGCTGTCGGCACTCTCGGCCAGAATCTTACGGCTGGGTCACCTATTGGGGTTAAAACGGCCTTTCATAATTCATTCAACAACAGCACAGCACGCAGTACGGGGGCAGGGGTCGGCTCCCATGATGCACCAGGGAACCAACCCATTTTGTCTGCAAACACAAAAATGTCTGACAGTCGAATAGTCACAATTCAGTATTCTCAGAGGGCTCCTTTTATCACACCAATGTGGTGGCTGTTGTGCTACAGGTGCTGCCAGACAGAGTGGATATGTGGCAGCGCAGTCAATGGTGTGGCTCTGGGACAATCTATTCATCTCGTGTTAAGACACATGGCGAGTTTTCAGAGCTGCCAGGGGTAGATGTATTGAGATCTGGTCCCTGTGGTGACTGATGACCTTTTGGCTGCATTTGGGTGTTAATCCTTGTTGGTGCTTAGTGGAGATGAGTACGGAGCCATGAGAGGAACAAACCCGTGGGTTCCCTCGTATCTTCGCCTTCCACCATAATCCCTGTTCAGATGAGCTATGGCTGCCTGTCTTGTCTCATATGATAAAACAGACAAAGGCTTTTTAAATAAAGGTCTACCCAAGGGGTTTTCTTTTTTAATGCAGAGGTGGTGCTTGCATAGCTACGTATTTAAGATGGAGAAGGGCTTCTGGCTTTAATGGGCGATGTACTGCTGCTGTGGATGTGTGACTGGTAGCAAGGGAAATAAAGGGAAATGACTGCAGTCAATAATGAAGACTTTATTTATTTTCATTAAAAAAAAAAAAAAGACAGTGCCGGTTTTAAACCCAAATCCTATCACTATCATGTGGAGGGGGCATGTTATATTAAAAACTATGACATAAAATGCATCACCTAGTACACAGCTCAGATCTGAACATGAACTACAGAGTGTACTTCCTCTTTTTTAGTAGACCTACCTCCAAGAGAAGGGTGAGGCATCCCCAAAAACAGAAATCAAACCAATATCAGTAAATCCTTCTTCTTATCAAAATAATATTGCAAATTAATGCGAGCCTATGAAAAATATAAAACAAAACAAAAAAACAGAAACCCGTTATTTTCTTCCTGTTGGTATTGGCTACTTCTTTCGGTTTATCTTTGAGCCAACAGCTCTGACGGCCAGCTGACAGCAGTAGCCAGCTGCCGGCCAGCTGCCGGCCAAATGCTGGCAAAACTCTGCTGGCTTGTTGATGCGAGGGCCGGGGCGTGCGGCTGTGTTGATGAAAATGGGGCATGAATACAGCCGATGCCAACAGGAATAAGTAAGCAGTCGAGTGTCACGTAAGTGTCTCTCTAACCAAACACCAGTGTTTCCCATACATAGATTACCATTTCCTCTTTTCAAGCGTCTGCTTCAAAGTGCAGTTGAAACTGTGAACTGATTGAAGAGTCTGCCGGAATGTCGCATATGTGATTGTATAGAGTGCAAAAAATGACTTCCCTAATCGGTAGTGTGACTTAGCTTGTGAATGCCCCCTCCCATCTCTCCATTACTTTTGTTGAGCCAAGATGATGCCACCGTGAAACAACTCTGTAGAGGAGCTTTCATTTACCCTGCCTCATTTAGCCTGGCTGGGAACAGACAGCTGCTCACTCAGCCCCTGAATATCTATCTCTCCTTCGCATATACATGTATCGGTTTGCAGCAGACTTTGACTGTAAAGCATGCGAGCCATCTACATGACATCATGCAGTCCTGTAAGATGACATAAGAGCTTCCTAGAGGTTTTAAGCTTGTACCCTTAACTAACTAACACTGACCATCAATTTTTGTGACTGATGTGAAACCTCATATATATTTGATATTATTCTAATGAAAGATATGAGTGTTAAATGATAGAGTACGAGAGACAAAGAACTGAAGGGGGTACGGAGGGTACTGAAAGACACGTAGCTATTGTTGCTCCCATTTGTGTGACACTGTCCACAGGAGCATCAATCCCACTGTCAGTCTGGCTCATTTGGGCAGTGGTGAAACAGAACTCCACCAGCCTAGATGAGTAAAAGATCTATCATTTATATTTATATGACTTGCGTGCATGTACTTCTGAGTCAAACGCTGAGGTAAGATGTGCAAAGAAGGCTTTGAATTTCCAAAAGAAAGCTCCTCCACATATAAATGAAGCCTTGTGAGCTGCACAAATCTGTTTGCTTCTGCTGGATGACGCTGGTTGGACTGGAGATTCATTATGGCATGCATGTTATTTAGTTGCATTACTACAGCCTTTGCCAGCTGTGCCTGACTCAGTATTGTCTCTCTTCTCACAGCTGCGACTGTGTGCACAAGCCCACGTGCATCCATCTGACAGAGGTAGCATTTAAGATAGTTCCAGACCTAAACAACTGAGGGGAGGCTGGGGATGGAAGGATAGGGCAGACATTTACATGGAGCAATGGCCTGTGTAGCTATGAATGAACCCGCTTAAAAAACACAGACACAAAACAAGTGAACAGCAGAAATACTGTGTCATGTTCTATGAACATTCCAGCACAGCCTCCACAGGACTATGTTAAAGGGCCTTTTGTCAAATGAGTTACCTCATCAGCACTCATGGCTCACATGGAGCCTTTGACACAACAACATGCACTGAGGGGTGAAGGACACCAGGACACTTCTGTGTCCATTATACTCAGGATACTCAGCTAACCATTAGCTGAGTATCCTCCAATCAAAGTACCAACCTTTTCTAGCAGGACCTTGACACAGGAAAGATGACCCTCAAAACAGGCAGAGATCAGTGGAGTTAACCCGTGTTTGTCTGGAGCCTGTAAGGGGAAAGGCATGAGTGGGAGACAGAAAAAAAAACAGGAGAAGATCATAGGCATCTATCTTTTTTTAATCAAAATAAATAATTCCTGTGTGAGAGAGGTTTAACTTCTCCCTCATCATGTCCACCAGTTATAAGAAAGCACACTGCACTTCAACACTATATTTATCTCCCATGTTTCAGTAGCAGAGCCCTTGACCATTAAAAATTGAGAATTTGAACATTTTTGGCTTGTGAGGCAAGGCAAAGACTATATGTTGGTACAATTTTAAATCCTTGTATTTGTGAAGACCGGACAAGTTGATGCTGAGATGTGTAAATTCTTGTGTACAAACTCAGGCAAAGGTGAAATACACCTAATAATAGCTCACGTTGCCTTGTGCGTCACATAGCACCATTGAAACTTCACTACAAGTGTGCTGGAGGTCAAAGATTCATGCAGCTTTGCACATACAATTCTACCTTTTAGTTAATACGGATCAATCTACTATAACAACACCAGAAGAGACTATTGAAGCTCAGGGGGCCAATCAGGCTAAATGTTAAGTCTGGCAAGCTTGGAAAATTGTTGAATGAGAGAATGGACAATGGCTGAAATAGCATAATGTAAGGTGGTTTTAACAGCCAGACTACTTTAGCTCAAACAAACTGATAATGCTCGTGCCAAATCGAGCAGTTTTACAATAGGCTTAGACTATGAAGGGATGCAAACATAGGCACTGTTATTTTCTGCCGCCATTGTAACCCCTGAACAGTAGGTAAATTAATGCAAAAATAATGTGATGGGAGCTGGTTGTTGTGGTTCTTACATTGATATCTGCTCCCTTAGAAATGAGGAACTCAACCACATCTGTCTGACCATAGTCTGCAGCGTAGTGCAGAGGCTTCCTCCCACCTTCCAGGGTCCGGTTTACATCTTCAGCCTGCAAAAAACAAGGTAACAGGTTAAAGGGGAACTTGGCAACTCTAGCCATTTCTTCGCTGGTTTTCACTTTTGTCGTTGCATGTTTTCTCAACGAGCTCCCTCTACAGCTCTGGGACGTATATTTCACAAAACTGTCGTAAAAAAAACTCACTTGCGGCCCCCTCCTCCCCCTTTCTACCGCTGCTGATGTGCATTTGTTGCCGGGCAACTTTTTCGTGTGGAGCAATATTACCGAGGTGGGTAATACATTATACACAGTATCATAGAGCGTTTATGTGGAATTGCCGTAAAGCAGTTTGTGTTTCTCGCTCGTTCTCGCTTCTCACGATACTTCCTATTTCGAACTTAACGGGACGGGAAAGTTGCAAGGTTGGTTTTCCACCTGGGGACGCTAGGGGAGCGGGGAGAGTCACCATTAACAGCGGAACAGGCCATTTAACCATCCAAATGATTTCTAAACGGGTTTATTAAGTTGAAATAGTTGCCAAATTCCCCTTTAACACTCAGCGTTGTCACACGGCAACTATAGAGATTAAAAAGGGAGCTCTGAGGAACCATTTTACTTAAAAAGTAAACTCTCACTGTTGATACAAGCTCACATTGAAAATTAGAGACAAACAATTACAGGCACCATCCTCTTCCTTTCACTTCCCTGCTGTGGTGCTGTCAGACCTCAGACTGTCAACCTTGCAGCAAAGAGAAAAGTCAGACACTCACCACTCTTCCCTTACCACACACACACACACACACACACACACACACACACACACACACACACACACACACACACAGAGCTTAGTGTGTGCCAGGCGGCCCCCTCCAGTGACAGTACCTAAAGACATATCAATCACAGCTTTGGCTGTCAGTTCTGGCTTTTCTCAAAGCTGTATACGATGAACCAACAGTCCGAATAAACATGGTGGCAGGTGGAAGAACAATTATTCATTCGCTTAGAAAATTGGCCTCCATAACAGAACACAAGAGCAGAATTTGCTGAAAGGCTTTGGAAAAAAGAGGTATATCTTGTTACACAAGACCCTCTATGAAAACACCTGATCTGGGGACGACAGAGGTAGCTCGGTTATTTGGTTTGCCTGGGGCGACTAAGAGCAAATCTAATAAAGCTAAAATGCAAATCAATTGAGATAATAAGGAAATAGCACAACTGGGAGATAATGTTAATATAATATTAAAAATACACAGTATTAGATTTCTTTTGTAATTCTGGTTATCATGCTACAACTAACATATTGTCCATTTCTGGTTCTAATTCTTACATTACAGTTAAATGATTCAAACTCATCTATTTTGACTGAATGAACAACTGCTAATATAAATAATTATGGCTATATTCCAGCCACATGTGCAAGTTGTAGGGTCCTGCTATTGTGGATGCTGGCTCATATGGATGGCTACTGGACATGTAAATGAAACTGGGCTATCATTAATGTTTTTTAATTATACCTGTGCAAGTAAATCCTTTACTGCCTCTTATTCCGTTTCCTATTTAGCTTGTTTCCCTTTTCCATTTCCCCTTTCCTGTCATCTAATGAATGTGAGGACCATATGCACACGAACTCGCTCAGATCTGTAACTGTGACCACTGACTAATTCAGCAACAATAGCATAATCCACTGCACCACTGCCTGCCTCCAATTGCTACTCGCTCACTCACCTTTATCACAAACTCCACTGAAGGTCAAGTACAACACACTGAAGACAATTCTTCATTGTACAGCCAATCCAACTGAATCCATTAGCCATGATGGATATCGAACCTCGACCTCTTCTAATAGTGTTTAAATGTTACCTTCAGCGGCTGCAGCTCCAATGGCTGATAAAATCTAAAATTGTTTCATTTCCACTATAGAAAAAGGATAAAGCACTGTGGTGGTTTATACCCAGACCCAGTTCAGATAATGAAATGGCTATGACTTCCAATAGGACCATCAAAAAATGGATGAAATGAGAAAACAAAAAAGGGAAAATTCGCCCCTGATAACAGTCTGCTCAAAGTTCAGTAACTATATTTAGGACTTTAGATTCCTTATCATTAGTTTGCAAGCCAGATAAGATTCAAATCTTGGAAGGGTCAATGCATCATGCAGCAAGTGTGTCCGGTAACTATCCTATCAGCTGCACACATCCGTCTCAACAATATCTTAGCTTTCATGTCACTTAAAAACTTTAACCACTTACTCCTAACACACATACTATCTGTGAAAACCGTTCAATACCAGAATCCATTGTAACGGTAGCTGTTGATCGAGAGTGTTTGTTTGGATAAAATCTACTTAAAATACCAAATACCATTTAATTTTGGTTCATTTAGTAAGATAACGTGCTGCCTTAGTAACCTTAGACACAACATCTGCAGCACATGTGCATAGTATAGCGGTTTATGGGGCACAAGTGAGTGAGAATCCAAAATGCAAGTCAAATTGCAACGCTGGTATTTACCTATAGACCAATATCAGGTCAACATGAGGTCAACCTCCTCCAGCAGAGGCAAGGGGCACACTGGGAGCTTTGCAGTGAAATCAGTGCACAACAGGCACTTTGTAACACTTTTCTATCACTCTCGTCCAGAAAGATTATACTGGCTACTGCGAGGGTGCCGCCGGATTCACAGGAGCCGGGCCTCCATCTCTTTTGCAACAACAACAACAACAACAACAACAACAACAACAGGTTGCTTGCTGCCTTCAGTAGCCAACGATGGCGTTTGCTAGCCGAAAGTGAAACCTGTTGCAGAGGTCAAATCCAGAGCGTTAAAGTCCAATGTCAATGACTGACCCAGACAGACAGACAGACAGACAGACAGACAGACAGCACTACACATCGCCTGTTCTCCAGTCGAGAGTGCCACTGTGGTGTCGCTAACTATGCTAACTCGGCGTTCAGACTAACATGTGTTACACAAGCCTTTAAAATGTTTTTGAGACGAGTTCGAGCTAACCCCGACGTCCATAAACTGTAGATAACGCCACGGATCCAGAAAGCCCCGATTGCTTGCCAATGTTAGATTACCTAACAACTCAGCGTTACCCAACTCAAGCTACCGTTAGCTGGCTACATAGCTAACGCTGACTGGCGTTAGCCACCTTAGCTGAGCGGCCACTTGTCAGAAAATTGTTGCCCACGATTCATTGACCAACCCAGACGAATTGCAGTTGCCTTACCGTTACCAGTTTGGCTTTGACCTCCTCCAGGTCCCCGGTATTCAATGCCCACATCAATTCTTTATCTCCCATCGTCCTGTCTTTGCTCCGGTGTAGCTCCTTCCCTGTTGTGCTGCAGGGCAGCTGTCAAGTTAAACGCTAGTGCGTTAAAAGTTAGCTAGCTGGAGCCGGAAAACTGTCGCTGGCGTCGCGGTGTGTCGCCTGAGGTTCAGCCCGACTCAACACAATGCCGGTGGAATAGTCGAGAGAGCAGTTTTGGTCGGATTCGGCGTGTAGCTGGGAGCCGGCGGTGAACGACAGGTCGAAAAGAAATAGGCTGAAAGAAGTTGTGAAAGGCGAAGTAGCAGAGAGGGATCCGCCTTTCTGCAGGCTGGAAGTGTTGTCGCTACCCGGAAGTGAAAAGGGAAACGCTTTATGTTTCTTTACGTGCTAATGGAAATGTAATGACTCACACATTCTCTTAAAAAATAAATATATATATATATAAAAAAAAAAAGCACATGTCGCTTGATGTGATGTATTCCTGGCGTGATTATTATTTTTTTTTAATCATTCCCATTTTTTAAAACATACGCCGTTAATGGTTGATGACTAATTGCTGGCAGCTTTGATGTTACTGCTGAAGTATAAAAGCGGAAATTCCTACCCTCCTTTGGGTCTTGACCGCACTTCTTGATTATATGGCCAAAGCAATGATGAAGCTCTTTATTATTATCTTCACATCAGTCGTCCGGTTTTGCTTTCCAGTACACACCCAGAGAGACAGAACAAACTTTATTTATTTTCCTGCTCTCTACTGTTTAGTGTTGTGGGTGTACAGTAAACAAACTAAATTCCTCACAACACACATATTATGGCAACATTAAAAGGAATAAATACTTATAAATGATTAAATAAAACTAGTTACATTACATAATGCTATACTGCTGATTTTCTTTTTCAAATGTAAATCATATTGACCCCAACAAATGTTTATTTAACGTGCAATTTCACCATAATGAAACACTCAGGAAAACATTTGTAATGTAGTTATATATGATATTATTCTTTATTGGTTTTATTAAAAACAAAAAAACTCAAATAAATTAAACAAAAACAAGAAAATCAATAAAAAAACCAAACATTCACATTTATTAATTCAGTGCGTCATACTATATAATATAAAGCCTATATTTGGGATTGCAGGTTGGATTAACTCTTTATCTGTGGGCCAGGGTCTCATTCCTGTGACAACCTGCCACAATTTGCTTGAACAAGACATTGAATGTTCTTTAGCTGCTGAAGCTGAACCTGCACTCTGACCTCCTAATGAAGTACCTATGCACATGTATATGTATGAGGGAGTGAGACCCGGCCTCAAAGAGCCAGTGGTCCTTATGACTGATGATGTTTTAGCTGAGTGCAGCTTGTACATCATTATTTTCAAGGCACTCTTGGAACCAAACATTCAATGCAGCACCTGTTGGAAGCAATCTGCACTTTCAGGGCCATCTCCATTGTCATCCACCATCTGAAGAGCTGCTCAATCAGTACCTGATAAACAGCTGCAGAAAGACAACAGGGCAAGAGGGGGAGGAAGAAACCATCATTACTTTACCTTGATCTGTAGAGGATCAAGGGCAGAGCAACACATTCAAAACCATACAACTACCTTTTTGCCATGGCATCGTCACTAGAGCCTCCTTCCTGCCCCATAACCACCTTCCCCCAATGAAGCCAACTGTATACATTCACTCTCCTGCCTCTCCTTGTGAAATATAGGTGATGACAAAAGTGTTGTCGCACTATCATTACATGAAATCAGCAGCCCCTTGGAAAAACCAATCTGTCCAGAGGATGAAGAGGACAATAAAAGACACTATTTCGAGAAAATTCAATATGGCAGCGTGATCAGAATAGATATGCAGTTAATGAGATTCAACCGCTCTTCCATTCTCCTCCTCCTCCTGGTATAGCTCCTCTTTACACAGCCCTCCCCCAGACACTACTCACCTATCTCTTTGTCACACACACACACACACACACACACACACACACACACACACACACACACATATATACACAAGACTGAGCAGCTGAAACACAGGTATTAAAACTGTTTTATGTGATAGTAATAAACTGTCCTCCTACTGTATGTTGCAGATTTTACTCCCAAATGGTAAAAAGGACACAGATGATTACAGCTCAGGTTTCTCCTGCTTGTTATGCTAATGTGACATATATGACTGAAATGACTCCTCGAATGGATAATCGCAAGTTCATATGTGGCTTAAATCAATTGCGGCCCAAGTAGTCATGCCTGTAATAACGACTTCTGCATACTAATGTTATTCGGGCATCGAAGGAGTTACTGCTTTAGTATTTTCTTACATATTCTCAAACATGCTTTGACCAGAAAATTAATACTTTATTTGACAAGAATACTTGGACTTGATCTATATTTTAGTATTTGCAGTGAGCATTCAAGAGACACGTTTGCAGTCTAAATAGCACATATTATAGCTGTTACTGTGGCAAAAGTCTGTTATGTGAGTGAACAGCACAATGGGATTTCACAATTTTTTCTAATGTATGGACACTAGGGAGAAAGTTTTCCGCCTGACAGAAATGTTAAAGTAATTCTATCCATAGGCATGACAGCATGGCACCTCCATTTTTCAGTCTATTAGCAGCGCTCAGGCAGCAGAACTACACCATGCAACTGTGTCCATTAAAAAGTCCAGAAGGGCCTTGACTAAAACACACACTCTTCTCCCCTGCTATTCAAAACATTCCTGAGGATACTATTCAATTGACAGTGCAGATGTACTTCCCCATAACTAGAACACTCAGTGCTATGAAAATGAAAGACTTGATATAATTAACAGACATAACCTCTGCAGTTAGTTGATTAAATATTTTTTTTCATAGATCAAATATAGCCTTTTTATGAGAACTAAGATAGTCTATCCTCCTCAATGAGAAATTATAATGATACTTTAAAGCTGAAATGGGACATTTTGGATTACTAATTGTGCATGAATGAGAAAGACATGTCATTGAATGGTCCCCACAAGAGAATATGCAAAACATTTTACAAGCACAAGTTTGAAGTACTGATACTTTACTTGAGCATTTTTAAGATTTTATACTTTTACATAACTTTGGCAATATGTATTTTGTAAAGCACAAAATACACCTGTAATTACTAATTACTTTGCAGATTAACATTTCAGATCCATAACATATATTGAGTTCATAAAAAGTGAGTTAACCATGATCATGTAAATTTATTTTGCTCAAAGTGCAGGTTATGAAATCTCTAAAATAGACAGCTCATGAACAAATAATAACGTACCAATCACTCAAATATTTTTTTGACCACTTGGAGGGAGCACAACAAGCTGTACACACAACAATGGCATACTATCACCTTCAAAAGTTGTTATAGTGAATGTGTTAACAGTAGCTTATTTACACACCCAACAGACAGGGACATTGGCGTTCATTTATTGCATTAACATTCATTCATCACATTCATTAGTATTCATATTATTTTGAAGTTGTATTTGTGGCCATGTGATGAATATAAGTCCAATACTCACTTTTCCCGTGTAAATATATGACTCCGTATGGCTTTATTGCTTTACTATGTTTACCAGCTCTCTGCTAACTCTGTTTATCTGCTGTTTGGTGCTGGGTAGGTAACGAATGGTGCGTCTGAACTTTTATGTTGGAAGCATCTGCCTGCTGTTGCTGGAAACAAGGTTGTTAAGAGCAATGAGACTTGACCAAAACTGTGAAGCTGCATAAACCAAAATGATGAGCTGAAAGATGCTAAAATGCACCATAAAACTAAGGGGAACTGCAAATTTGATTGATAACTCTAATGGGTTCGTCACTACCAGCCTCTCCTTTTAGATTACATGTGGTCATTTGATTCATTGTTAATGTCGAACTATTGATTAGAGCAGGTTTAAATACTACACTTTCAATTTGACTGTTGTAATATCGATACTTTCACTTCAGTACAAAATGTTAGTACAACTGTGACCACTTGTATCTATGGACCAATGCCCCATCCACCACATTAGTGTCAGTTTCTGTTACAGTGTTATTAGTGTTATGTAAGTGCCTATCTGCCAATATAATAATGGATTATTAAATTCTTGTTCACTGTCCATACCTGTACTGGCACTAACATCAACAGTACACACTATGAAATGAATGAGGCCTGAAGAATGCTGATATGCTAAATGACTGAGAAATCTGCAGGATATACTGATACAAGTGTATGTGACTGACTTTCTTTTGTTCTCAAGGGTACACAATTAACAATAATTAGCAAAAAACTAAAGAAGAGTGGAAGTTTTGCCCATATTTGCAAAACATAATGATCATATATCCATCTCCTGTGACCTGCTTATTCTCCCCCTCTACAGTATTTCTCGAGACCATCCTCATCAAGTTGATTAGTGTACTGAAGGGTAATCCATACTTACTAAATTGGTTTAATCCATCTATCTCAGTTGTACATGGCCTTGTCTTTGTCACGGCTAAATGTAACGTGATTAGTGAGGCCTGCTGTGACTGTCGCAGACACCCAAGGTTTTATGACTCTACAGCCTCAGCACAATCCTGGGGACGTACTGAGAGTCACCTAAATGTCAGGTCTGTTTGCTAAGACAGCAATTACTAAGCCACCTGCTTCACCAAGATTGTCAGAACTTGGGAACATATACAGTCGACACCACTCATGAAATTCATACTTCAATATTATGGAACTGTCGAAAAACTCCAACATTGTTCTTTACCAAGGAAAAGCATGCTTACTGAGCTGAAGAGAATATTATTTACTTTATATTTCTTGATGTGTGACTGAATACCAGCAGGGTCAAAAGTCTATCGCAAACAAGGTGAAAGCAAACTGACAAAAGCACTGAATTAGAAAAGAAAGAGGAAAAAAACAGTTAAAAGGAAAACAATTTTCATGTTTAAAAACTCTGATTTCTTGCCAGTACCTGGAAGTCAAATTAATTTTCAACAAAACAAACCAAAACATTTCTCTTAAAAACAAATCACAAAAAAATATAATAGCAATATAGTTTGTGCAAATATCTGCATATATTTTAAGAAAACACTTTAAACTTTAAACATGCATTAACCGATATTTTGGATACTTGGGGACACCATATTGACATTATTATCTTGTAAAGTTTCTACAGCTAACATTTTAGCAAACAGTTGCTTAGTTACACATCAGCAAATGAAGAGCAACATTGTTGGAGTTTTGTTTCTGGCCACCTGATGAAAGTAAGTCTAATAATCACTCTTTTTAGCTCTATTTTGGTCTCCACCAAATGCTAAAGGAATAAACATCTGGTTCTATAGCTGCTAAATACTCTATATCTTCACCAGCTAACT